TTGTGCCTTGGTTTTTTCTTTTTTTTTTTTTTTTTTTCCTTTTTGCTTGCCTCCAATTACCATCCTCTATTAATAGCGGTGCCTTTAGTTTCACTTTATCCACCACACACACAATTAGGCACTATGATTACTACCATCATTATCATTGTTTTTTAAATGTTAAGGTCTAATTTACCCAAATTTACCAATTTCTCGATTCTTCCTCATTTCATGCATCCTACTCCTTCATTCTAAATTCAGTCTGTCTTACTAAAGTACATTTTGTAATACGTCTCTGAGTGGTAATTTAGTCCTGGTTCCTAAGGGTTTCTGTACATCTTTATTCTTTGAATTTAAGTCTGTGGAAAATCTCAATAGACTAAAATATCTCACGAGACTCAACTGCTTCCCTATCCTCTCCAGTGCCTCTTGTAGGACTCTGATTAGAACCCTTCTCTCTTCCCAGCTCTCACTGCTTTACTCCGGATCAGGACCAGGAGCACTCCCTGTCCTGCAAACCCTACTTCTGCATGTCTGTTTAGTGATGCTGTTGGTCAAATCTGCTTTATCCCCCATCTGTAGTTACTTCATCTTTTGTCTCTTCAGTCATGTGAAAATATAACCTCTTTCAAACCATTTTATCCTCTCCTATTTTTAAGGCACTCATCCTGCATAGGTTCATCACCTGACTCCGAGGGTCAGGAAGAAAGGTGCATGCAGGGGAAGAGTGACACTTGGGGGAAAGACAGACTTACTTAAAATGACTCCTTATAGTCTTTAGTGATTCAAAATATGAAACAGTTGCTTGGGGTCATGGTGGGGCAGGGACAACAGACCCCCTCAAGGAGTGTAAGAACTCTGCAGAGCTCTTTCTGAAGGCCTGGGGCCTCCAGACTGACCAATGTTCTCCATCCCCTTGAAAAAGCAATGCACCATTCAACTGATGCTAATACTGGGAGGGATGACATCCCTTAGGTGTGGTGGGCTAGAAAAGTATAAAAAGATGAAAACAACTGTTTTAAGCATCTGGGATTTATTTCTTTAAAAGATGAAAAACAAAAGTGACCTTTTTCTCCCCAGCTGCCTGCTAGCTGTCCTATATCATGTATTATCTTTCCTTCTCAATTTGTGTTTGAAACTGACTTCTAAGTTACTGAAATACTACTGAGCTTTCTATTCAGTTCTATTGATCTATTCTTCTAATTTTATAGCAGTATCAAACACTATTTCAATGTCTACTGCTTTGTCTTTTAAGCTTATAATAGAATTGTTCAGAAAACAAAGTCTTATTCACCCCCTTCATTTTGTTAAGAACTCTAACATCATTTCCCTTTCCTAAGTTCAAAAAAAGGTAAAGGTTAAGATCCTGCGTATGTGCAAATTATTTTATAAAATACTAGCATCTTTAAAGTATCTAATCTTCCTATCTAAAACATAATCTATCTCATTAATCAAATTATCCTTCAGCCCTGTGTCTTTTCAAAAATCTATCTCAATAAAATTGTTTGCATGGTATTTTACTTTCATTAAGTATGGAATTATTCCCTTTTCCTAACTATTTTAAGGTAATTCTAATCATTTCTAGACAGTTCTCAAGGGTTTTCTAGGTCCACTCAAGGCTTTTAGCAATTTTGCCCAGATAATACACCAGGTGTTCATGAATCTCATTTTATTTCATCCACTGGAACAATATCTGTACAATATCCAGCTACAGCTGTGGCACCCTTCCCCTCATCCTGCCCTCTCCTCACCCATCTGTTCAACACTGGCATCAAACAACATTACCCAAAACATGGAGAAGAGTAGCACTTCTGTTTAATTAAGTTTTTAAGGAAATGGTACGTTATCAAGATTTTCAACAGAGAAACACAGGCTTAAATGGAGTCAGATCCACCACTAAGACAGTTTACACTAAATTACATGGGAAACTCAGCATCCAGATTATCTCACTGAGAACTTTACTATGCTAAATTCAAGGCTTTCCTCCAACTTGGCAGGAAAAAGACTAAGTTACAAAACCGAGGACAAGAGAGCTAGTTTGAGACTAATTTAATTCTTTATATGATAGGTAATCAAAAACAATGTTCTCACAGTGTTTAACCAGAATAGAATATGATTATTTTAAAATGATCATTAATTAAAATTACAAAAATATTCATACAGTTCCACAAGAAAATGAATTGCACTAATATTCCTTACTAGGATTAAAATTAGAAGTACAAATTTACATTGAATTTGTTCTTAAGTATGGCACTACAGAAAAGATAATGATGAAAATTAATTTGCATTTACACTTGTCTAGAATAACTGAGAGCCTTAAACAAATAAAATACTAATCAGTAAGCAAATCATTCCTACTGAATGATAGTGGTAAAATAAGGATGGGCTATTTTCCCAGTGGTTCCATAATTTAAAACTTACCTTATTTTTAACAATGGTTCTACCCTTAAAATGTGGTGAAACAGGATATTTAAGAATTCTTCAGGATCTAGAAGAAAATAAAAAATTAAATATGAGTCAGGCAAAACTTTAAATTCATTCTATTCTTTACAAGTCATATTTTTAAGCTGAATTCAATTGCACTCACTATTACTTCAATTAAGTGCATAGTTTTTAAATTTTCCTGAAAAAGGAAAGCTACAAAGGATATTTATATGCTATGAGAAACTTCTGTGCTTCAAATGTTATAACTTTATTGCATTTGAAAGGTATAATTATTCATATAAAGTGAAATATTTTTTCTTTGGGAGGTTTAAGATAAGTGGGACAAAATCTGAACTATCCCCTGCTTTTTCTTACTTTTAATTATCACGCCTCTAAGCATCATAGCTGGTTAAGCACACTTCTAAAAACTTCAAAGTCAGAGGCTGAATCTTTGCATAAATCCATTAGCTATGAATAGATTAAAACACTAACCATAAACATAATCATAGTCAGCTGTTTAATAATGGCCTCTTACAAGAAAAACTAAGTGGGAAACATAGATGACTCAATGTACCCCTTCATCATAGAAAGATAAACAACTCAGAATATCATTGGCTGCATGAAAACGAAAGAACTTTTGATCTATTCATTTAATACAGTTAAACCAAGGCAGCCTCTTAGAGGGGTTCATTATTGCACATCACTGTATTTTCCAAAGAGAGGAAGAATTTACAAAACAGGGAGAAAAATGTGTATCATATAGAAAAAAGTTCTCTTTGGTTGTTCATTTGTTTGTTTGGGGTGGGTGCTGGGAATCAGAATCCAGCATACCAGGGAAGTACAGTATTCTACCATGGAACTATAGTCCCAACCTCCCAAATTCTAATTTAAAATTAAACCACAAAACTACATAAACACACATTTTAGCTATCATTTAGCATATTTACATGGTTTCAAGTTTTTTTTTCAATGCATATGCTATAAAGGAAGATGGTCACCTTTTTCTTCAGAGGTAAATCCTGATGCAGCCTCAACTTTTTCAAGTATTTTCCTCAGTTTCATAATTTTTGTCGCACATACATATCCATATCTATGTTAGTAAAAACTATTAGTTAACTGGTACCGACATATATAATAAATTATGTAACACATTTTAATAATGACACACATATAATCCCAACAAGTTACATATCAATAGAGTAGGCAACTGAAGAATACAGTTATGGCTTCTTATTGAAATTTGAAAAATTAGCAGAATTATCACAGACACTCTTATACACTTTAAAATAACTGTCATATAATAATGGAAGAAAAATATTTTTTAAAGTTTGTGATGATTAATTTCTTAACTAATTTTTGCTTAAGAAATTATTTACTTTATAAAACAAAATAAACCATTTTAAGAGAGAAAGTTCTTTTCATAACAAAGAATGAAATAGCTACCAAGGGCAATAAGAAAGGGAACTGATGAGATATTAAAAATCTACAATCTGCAATTGAATCAAACAGCATCATTATGCTATTTTCTCTCATGTTTGTCTGAGTACAGGACACATTCAATAAGCTCAATGTCAACAAAATTCTATTTATGAAAATGACTCCAGAAGAGATTTCAGTGGCCATTATGGGCTTAATAAAGGCAAGTTAGAACCATCTCATCTTATACATGTTTTTCTGTACTGTCTATTCATTCACTATTAACTCCCTTCAAACAAAAGACATTGAGCATCTGCTACATACTACTCTATCCTGTTAGCCACTGGGATTCCAAAAGGAGTAAGGATAAAGACAGGGTCTCTGCCTCTGAGAAGTGTGTGCTGAAGAAAGCAACATTTCAGTATTAAACACAACTACAAAGAAAAAACAGAGATGTGGGTGCTGCAAACACAAAGACTCTGAATTGCTACAGGCCATCTGACAAGTTTCTTATCATGGACAACAGGGTCCAGAGAATGTTTCACATTCTGTAGGGCATAACACTGGTTTACAAGAACCCAATCCACACTATTCTACTGTAAATTTGTACTTCAGCATAACAGTAGCCAGCTGTGCATCTCAGCAGCTGCACCTGGGAGACACAGGAACCAATCTTTATGTCTACCCACTTGATATAATGAACAACAAAGTGTGTACATTTGTGTGAAAGTGTCCAACTGGGATTTTTACTCACATAATGCTCTAACAGGTTTTGTATATGTTTACCTGAGCATCACAGGGGGGTAAAATACACCCACACCACTCTTCTGTTATGTAAACATGTATTTTACCACAATGGAATGTGTATGTGACTCACAATAGCTGTGCCTAGGCAAAGCAAAAGCCCATCTGTGCATTCACCCACTTGGCAGATGAATGGCAAGGTGTGTACAAGAGCTCCAAAGCAGCAACAGGTGAGTTTCACCCATGAAATGTCACTGCTAAATTTCTGTGCATTTAGGTTTGTTTTTTTAAAAAGTTTTCTTTTGATTTTTCTGGGAGAAGTAGCCCAATTCAGAACAACAGCAAATGAAAACCTAGATTTGTAAGTTTTGGAGGTCAAAAGTGAATCATTATATTACTCATGCATGGATGATGAAGGTAATGATGACTTTAACCATTGGTCATATGAGCCAAAGTTCCTGGGACAGTGAAATGGAGCAAGAATAAACCATGGGGAATGCACACTCCTTTGACTCAGATGACAAAAACAAAAAGCAAAAAAACCCCAGCAATGTGAGTACATATTTAATTAGTTGAAATGGTACAAAATGGTCATGCAACCAAAGGAATGATCCAATGTTAGAACTTGGTCCAAAAATATAGTGAGGATCTTGGCAGGAGTAAATCCTATTGGACAAAAAGCCAAAGCTTCCATTCAATGTTGCAAATTGTTTGTAATAGACAAAATACTACAACATGCTGTGAAATATACAAATGCTAACTTACAAGTAAAACATTCTGTATGCACCACTGCCACATTCAAAAATGTATTATGACACCTCACTAGCTGAACTGAAAGCATTCATAGGTCTGCTGGACTTAGCAGGGCTTCCTCATGGTAATAGCAGGAATGTAAGACTTAAGGGAAAGCAATGGGTGTGGGCTTGAGGTTTGTAGAATAACAATGACACTGAAGAGATTTGGTTTTCTTAAAAATTGTCTGAGGTTTGAGGGCAAAACTACCCATAAAGAAAGAAAAAGAACTAAGAATCTGGCTACTACCCACTCATTAAGAGATTTGTGGGTAATTGTCAAACAATTTACACACCATTTGAACACATGACTGCTGATGCACATCTTGTAGCAGGTTGCTGTGGCTCGGGCATTATACGCCTCAAAAAAACCTTCAAAATATGGCATAAAAATTTATGGCCTTGAAAATGAAAAGACATAGTATGCTTTCAATTTAGAAATTTATCCTGGAACTCAGCCACCAGGTCCTTATTTGTATGGTAGTAAACTGAATGATGTTATGAACAGATCTGTTGCTCCCATCTCCCAAACTACTCGAAATGTGACAAGCAACAGTTGGTTTATCAGTTTCCAACTGACGCTATATTTGAACAGTATAGGAAATGTACACAGGAACAAAGCAGAAATTCCAAAAGAAATGTTGCAATTTCAAAACAAGGAATTATATAGTACAACCTTTGGATTTCAGAAAGATATAACATTGGTCTCATATATGGCAAAGTAAAACAAACTGGTACTGCTGACGTCAACATTGCACCACGATGGAAATACTAATAGGGAAACCTCAACAAAACAGAAGCCTGAGATGGTAACTTTCTACAACAAAACCAAAGGCCATTGATGTTGTTTATGAGACATGCAACAACTATGATGTAATGGGAAACACAAAGCATTGGCCAATGGTTGTGTTTTACTCGATCCTAAACATATGTGGTATAATTTTACAAAGAAAATAACAAGTGCAAAACACCATGGAGAAATTTTCTTAGAGGACTAGGACTAGAAGTCATAAGAGATCATTTACAGCAGAGGAAAAACAAAATGTTTCTGCCCAGGGAACTATGCAAAAAAAATTGTGGAGCACACTAGTGAGCTGACAGGTGAACAGACAGGTGCACATAACAAAGACCTACTACAACAAAGTAAAACCAAAAAGATATCAACTGTGAAGTACCAAAAAAGGACAGGACAACAAATGTATGTGCCATCACTGAAAGAAATACCTGTAAATGGAGTATGCAGTTTTTATGTGTGAAGAATGCCTTGGTATGACAGTTGAAGGAAAGATCATTTCTGTGGTAGGCTTTTGCTTGTATTTACACTGTAGTTCACATAGGTATTTATTTCTAATGTTATCTTTCAGGTTTTATAAGCAAGTAAATAGCTGATGTGAAAGTATTATTCTAAGTACTCATTACATATTTGATAATTTTATTGATATTTTCTTTATATCTTATTTTTCATTGTACAACATAGTAAGAAGGTTCTGACAGAAAAGAAAATGAGAGGTGACAAGAATGGCCTGTCACACAGGAAAAGAAAGCTAAGTACATGTGTTATCAATGTAAGCAAGATGTGTGCAAGGAACATGTAGTTGTCATGTGTGAAGAATGCCTTGGGTGTGACAAATGAAGCAAAGGTTATTTTTGTTGTAGAGTTCTATTGGTATTTTGATTGTAGTTGATATAAGGAATTTATTTCTGATGTTATCTTTTAGGTTTGTAAGCAAATACACAGCTGATATAGGAAGTTGATATTCTACATGCAGAATACATATTAACAATACTTTATTTTATTGCTATTTTATGTTCCTGTTAACTACACATTGTACAATATAATAAGAACCTCCTGACAAGACAGCAAGACCAGTGAGATGTCAAGTATGTCCTACAAAAAGGCCAGGAAAAGCAAAACACATGAGCTGTCCGTGTAAGTGATATGTGTGTATGGAATGTGCTGCTGTCATGTGTAAAGACTGCATTAGGTGTGACAATTGAAGTAAAGATTATCTTCTATAGAGTTCTATTGGCATTTTCATTGTAGTTCACATAGGAATTTATTTCTGTTGTTATTTTTTAGACTCTGTGCACCAAAAAACAGTTGTGGAAAATTTTGATGCTTTTTTATAAACAATAGATAGTAAAAATTCAATATTTACTTTTTTGCTATTTTTCCTGTTAAGTACTCATTTTTTAACATAATAAAATTCATAAAATTAAAATAATTTATCAATAGAAATATTCTAAAGAATAACAATGTGCCTTTATGACAAAATTGGTGTTATGAATGGACTTATGGTATTTTAGAAGGAAGGAAGAAGGTGGTAATGTGCCTTACAACAGTGATGGCAAATCTATGGCACATGTTTCACAGTGCCCTCTCTGTTGGCCTGCAAGCCAAGTCACCCCAGCAGCTGAGCATAACAGTTGTTTTTTTCTAAATTAAAACCTTGGTACTCAGGTTTAATTGCAGTGTTGGCAGCTTCTCGGGCTTTTGACTAAGATCAAGTGTAATTGCAGTGTTGGCACTTTATGATAAATAAATGGGTTTTGGGTTACAGTTTGAGCAGTCTCTGAAAGATGTGCCATTACTTCCTTAGAGTTTTGAGTTTGCCTTGTCTTGTTCTAGTATTAATTATCTGGAGGAAAAATTAAAAGTTTGTTTAAAAGTTTGCCTAAGACCAAATAATGTAAAAACCAACACTCATAATTCTCTTAAGCATAAGATAATTATAGAATTATAGGAAAATAGACAACATAAGTGGGGAGACTTATTCTTTTATAGTTTACTTTGCTATTCACATGATACAGTAGGTCATTTGAAATGCTCATTAAATTTCAGGCTCTGTATGATCAAAATCTTATATCTAACTCTCTTAGTTTTAATTGTTAAATAAGAAAATTAGGTCAGAAAATTTAAATTTAACTTGGTATAACCTTTAAACTACAGTTTATTCTCTGTGTTCCTGATGAACAAAACTGTTTTATGATTTATGGCCGCAATTCTTCACAGTTTAAAACTTACAATATGACACCATCAATACATCACTGGTACCACTTATCAAATTATAGATGGTCTCTGTTACTTGTGCTTATACCATTACAAATAGCTTCCTGTGACCCCAAAAGCAGACATATTTATAATTCCTAAACTAGTAAATAAAAGAAGAATCACCTTGGTAAAGGAGATGAAAAGAGACCTAAATATATTTATTTAAACAAAGAGCATATTACTAAACTATACCTCATCTGTTTCTAGGACAGAAATGTTAAAATAGTGGTCATTCCATAAATAAATAATTTCCTTCTCTCCTTCTCTTTCAGATAAAATTAAGTTTGAGAAGCCAAACTACAGCACTTTTATCAGTAAGCATGATTACTGTTAGGAACAGGGCTAAAACAGATTATTTCAAAAGATAAGAAGCCTAAGTACTATAAATCAGCTTCTCTAAATCTACTGCAATTGCTAACTTGCAGTATATTTTACCAAAATGGTTTAAATCATTTCATGGAATATACTATGTTCTATATATCAGCCAGACAAGAAATTAAATAACCAAGGGAAGTACAAGAACCAAAGGTTAAACAAAAATCAGTACTTCACCATGAGGACTAACTTTCACCCATTTCTATATTACATGAAAGCAGAGCATAAATCAATTCCTATACCAGAAAAGAGCAAACAGAACATCCACAGGTGAACTATAAAATACTTCTACTTACATTCGCAGAGGATTAACAATTTCTGTCCTCAGTAGTTCTTGTGTTTCACTGTAATACTCTACATCATTCTTTTCTTTGGGTCTAAGTAACACAGTGTCCAGAACAGAACTAAAAGCAAATAAGCTGCAAAATAAAAACAGCATTTTTCCCATGTTATAAACATGCCATTTGTCAGGAAACAGATTCTAAAAAGAGCCATAAAGGAAAAGAAGCAAAATCTAAACAATAAACAGCATAAACACCCATGTTTTCCACAAACATAGGGACCTAAGAGCCCCTATAAAGGCTCCCACAGTTCAATCATCAGGGCCCAGGATATTTTCACAGTGAGGAGAAAACCAACACCAAGAGGCAAACTACAGGTTGACAGTGTTAAAGGATAAAAATATGCCTCAAGCACAGAAAGAAAACAAACTTCTGTGCAAAAGCTAAAAGAAGGCCCACAAATCTGAGTCACACTACAAACATGTAACACACGAGGAAGTCTGGAAATTACTTCTCAGAGCAAACACCATACTATATTCCCCTCCCCATTTCTGTCCCTTTGCAAAACCCTAGTCTTTAAGATCACTTGTGAATGACTAATAGCAGAAACTTGCTAGTATGAAAGAAAACAATTTGGCTAACACAGGTTTTTATGGGGAAATCTGAAGAACATTACAATAGTGGTACAAAGGCTTGTTTATGTCAACACATCCAGGAGACTGAAAGTACTCTGCCAACAAAATGGCTCACCACCTTCATTCTTTTTCCCGATTTTCAAGTGTTAACATCCCATACTGACTTCCTAAATCTAATGACACACTGTACAGAACTGGCAAGTTACTTCAGTTTAACTGACGCCACACAATCCTCAAGGCCTAAAGATTCTTGCTTCAAACTTCAGAGCCTAGTGATTCTTGCCACACTAAGTTGTTCCACTTTGGAAAAAAACAACATATATGAGGACAACAGTCCTTCTATTAAAAACATTTTTTAAATGGAGTAGTTTTAAGATTGCCTCTACCTATTAAAACAAACAGGGCACACATCAACTAGTAACCTACTGCAAGTCATGCTTTTGATATGTGTGCAAAAATATCATATTTATTCACTTCAGATAGGTATATCTGAGGGCTGAGGATTTAGCTCAGTGGTTCCACCGCCAGCCTTGCGAGCACAGGGACCCAAGTTTGATCCCCAGAACCAAAGAAAAAAAAAAAGCAAAACAGATAGGTGTATCTGTCCCACGTGTATTAGTATCCTTCACACTCCTTACTCATTATCCACTGCATTGCTTTTTATATTAGCTTTTTAGATGGAAAAATAGAAGAAAATCTGCCAGACTTCCAAAGAGTATATTATGGAAGGCAACTCTCCTTCCTAGTCACGTAGTCCCTCCTCACAGGGGCTGCTGGCAATCTGTTTCACAGAGAGTCAAGCACACACATGCACACACTCACCATACAGGCACCTGCCCCCATTATAAACTCACCAAAATAAGGTTGAATCTAAGTAACAAGAATTATAATGACCCTGGATACCTTTCTTCTTTCCAATCATTATCTCCAAACCTTCTTTTTCCATTTTTGGTGGAGTGTTTTCTTCTACCACTTCACTTAAATATCCTCCAAATGCTGAAACGATAAAAATGAAAATGAAAAGAATTCTTTTAAACTATTACAGTATATATGTCTTCATTTTAAAGTATCTTTCAGTATGTCGATGCACATTTTGTTTCTCAACCTTTGGTTAACTGCTATTCAGCCTGTATCATAAAAAAATGCTATTGTTCATTTTCAATCTCACTTCCTCCACAATTTCAAAAACATGTTAAAGTATTAAGCAGCATGTAAAGAGTATCTGTCAAGTAAAATACATTGTTTCCATTATATTTTATTATTTATCCAAAATGTTTCCTTTTCAAGCCTGAAAATAAAATCCAAAGTGTTACTTCAAGATTATAAAAAATGTTCTTCATAAAAATGCATTTCCTATTTACACCTGCTTAACTCTCGAGATGCTGCACAACTACTGTCCAGAACAGGGAAGGGACAGCATCAGGAAACTGTCCCTACTGCGGTGTAGAGACAGCTGTCTTCCATTCTTCAAGTAAATGCTTATTTCTTGATAGGACACACTGAAGGAGAGAGGTATTTAAGAGGTACAATGAAGGGGAATCAGTACAAAAAAGGGTCATGTTCCAATTTTTACTTCCTGTACTCCTGAAAATTAAATGTCTAGTCAACAGGAAAGGAAAAATATATCCCAGTATTTCTCACATAAGACCTACTTTTCCTGATACTCTTAAAATGAATATTGAATATATTCAATGAATATTGGCAAGAAAATCATTTAAGCAATGTACCATTCTTCCTGCAAAATGGGAGGAAATGGAGTCCTCTGTAATGAGTAAAAAATGGAAAGCATCCACTACCTAAGGAATTGCAGCGCTCGATCTGATTGGAGACCGGCTGCAGGGACGCAAACCTAGAGTCTGGCCTGCAGCTCTTCAGTTTCACGAACAGCGCCTTCTTCAGGGCACAGGTGAAATATCGAGTGCCCCTGAAGGTTCCATCTGTGCAGCCTGCACATTCGTCCTCCTGAAAAACAAACGCTTCCGTATGTATATAAGCCCCTTACAAAGACAGTACTCGAAGAATTTGAAGATGTGTTCCTAGTTTACCCTTCCCTCTGAATTCCCTCTTTATTCCTGTACTGTGAACTATATCAAGAAGGAGTTGGTGCCTTAGCCCATAGCTAATGGTTCAAGAATTTAATTTCTTACTCCTGAAAGAGGTCCTCAAAGCATTTCTTCCAGAATACATGCCTATCCTTTCCCTGGTTAACTGAATTTTCTGCACCATTTCCACAAGTAGTAAAACGAGGGAGGAGCTGGGAAGTGTAGTTCTGCTAGGTTCCATTCCCAGCAATACAAAATAAATAAGCAAATAAAACTGAGGCAAACAAGGAAGATAATTATTTTAATTCTCTCCAATGGTATTCACTAGTATAGAAACAAACAAGGAAAACAAAATCCAAGAAATATAAGCTAAATGCATTCAAATTCTCCTCTCCTGATTATGAAATGCTGATGACCTCTAAAGGGAAAAAATCTTTCCACCTACCAAGAGCTCAAAAGATCTCTAGGTGATTAATTTTAAAGCCATAATTGATACAGCTTTGTGGAGAAGAAAGCTGACAAAGAAAAAAAATTTCTTTCCTTATTGCATTCTATTTAATAAAAGGAGTCTAAATACATTAGCCTAAAAGCTAATTTTTATTCTTTGAATATAGATCGACTAACATTAAAACAAGTTAGCAGAAGCTTAAGGAGTAGCAAAGGCAAGTCAGGCAACATGGCAATAATATTTTTCTCTAGTGATGGCTTTTCTTACAAATACAAGAGTTTGCCAGAACAAAATAAAGCAACAACAAAAAAAACAGCACACACACACACACACACACACAAGAAAAATCTGAACAAAACCTCATTCAGAAAAGAACTGCAATTTTTAGGTCAAATTTAATTACCAGTTCCAGTCCAGCTAGTACTTCACTGAGCCCTGGTGGCTGACCAATCCAGCGGATGACCCCATAAAAAGGAGGATTCTCCTTCACTTCAGCCAGTGAGCCCACTTCCAGACCATGTGAGTTACCAGAGGACACAGGCAAGGGCGGGCTCTCCTGCACAGGAGCACTGTTCAGCTCGCCCATCACAGACTGCACAGACAGTGACAGTGGACTGTGAGCCATGCTGCCATTGGTGTTGGGCATCTTCGTCAAGCTGAAGGGCAAAGAGTGAAATCTGTTCTCGCTGGATAAGGAGTTCATAGAAGGAGGCTGCAGCGGTGGTGAAGAATGTCCAAAGTCTGGAGATAGATCTGTAAGTGACTTCGCAGGGTCTTCTGCAAATTTGAAAAATTGTTCTTAATTAGGGAAATGTATTCAAGAATATGGAATATCCCTTGGATCCCTAAAACTCAATATGTAGATCTAGAAGACCTCTCCATTAGAATCCTTACAGGCACTACAAACTTATTATTTCTACAGTAGTGTTCTCGCTTCTCTTCTCCACCTCCAAACTTTTCTACCTCAGTCAATGGAACACAATTGTTAAAAAAAAAATCTATTACTGATTGTCATTACCTAAGATATATTCTTTGTCTGTAATATAATTAATTAGGTTAGAAACCAGCACAAAAAGGTAATAAAAAATTAAGAAACAATTCTAAATAACTTATGGATCAAATAAGAAATGCTAAATTTTAAAAAGAAAAGAAAAGGAAACAATAAAGAACACCTGTGAAACACATAAGGTAACACAAAGGAAATTTACAGATGGCTAATTTTAGGGGGAGAAGCTAGCTATTAATAAATTCAGCATACAACTTAAAATGTTAAGAAGAACAAAACAACCCCCAAAGTATGCAAGAGAAAAATAAGCAAACAAAATTAATGAAAGGGAAAACAAACAAAATAAACTCAAAGCCAGTATAAACACACATACACAAAAAAAATTCAAGTCAAAACAAACATACAATAAAGAGAATCAAAGCCACAAGCTACTTCCTTAATATGAGTAATATAGCTGACAGGCAGGCACAGTAGATCAGTGGGAAAAAATAAACTTCTTAATAAGTAGGGTTGAGATAATCAGCCAGCCATGTGTTCAAAAATTCTAATCTTGAATCCTACTCACACTTGACAGAAAATCAATTCCAAGTAGTTTAAAACAAATGTGACAGGCAAAATTGTAAACTTTTAGAAGGCAATATAGAGAAATTTCATAATACAAGTATAAAAACCATAAAAGAAAAAAGATTGATAAGTATGACCACCTTTAAATTAAGAACTATTCATTCATTAAAAGGCTTCCTGAGAGTGAAAGTTTGAGCTAGAGAAAAAAAAATCAGCAAAACATATAGCTTGGCCAAAGATGAGAATTTGAAAAATGTTTATAAATCAGTAAGAAGACAAAAAGAAAAATCAGAAAAAAGCAGAAAAAAACTTGGAAAGGCAACTCACATAAGAAGAAACACAAATTAGCAACAAATAACTAGAACATTTTTGCCCACATTATTAATTAGACAAATGCAAGCCAAAACCAATACAAGTTATCATTTAAAAAGTTAAAGGTCTGCCAGGTGTGGTAGCACACGTCTATAATCCCAGCACTCAGGGGGCTGAGGCAGGAGGATTGCTATGAGTTCTAGACCAGCATGGACTACAAAGTAAGTTCCAGGGCAATCTCAACTACATAGTGAGACCCTGTCTTAAAAAAAAAAAAAAAAAAATTAAAGGTCTTACAACGTTAACTGTTGGTGAGAATGAGGATTAACTGGGTGCTTACACAACACTGGTAGTTGTGTGCTATAGACTGCATGTCTGTACCCTAAAAGTTATGTTGAAACCATTCAATGTGAGGGCATTTGGAGGTGAGGTCTTTGGGAAGTGATTAGGTCATGAAGTCACAGCCCTCATAAATGAGATGGGTTCCTTATAAGGGGGGTCCTAGAGAACTCCCTTGCCTTTCTGCTATACGAGGATACAGTAAAAAGATGGTTGTCTTTGAACCAGGAAGTGAGCCCTCATGAGACACTAAATCTTCACATGCCTTGACACTGGATTGCCTGGCCTGCAGAATTGTAAGAAATAAGTTTCTATTGTTTATAAGCCACTTCACCTATGGTATTATGCTGCTGCAGCTCAAACAGACTAAGACATGTGCAAACTGTGTAACCACTTTGACAGCTTGTCATTATTTACTAAAGAGGTACTTATTTCATTTCCCAATAATACCAGTCCTAATCATATACCCTAGACCAATGATGTCAAACCTTTTAGAGTTTTCAATGATACAAACAGGCTGTTGTAGCACATATGCCAAAGGTTCATCACCACTGCCCTAGACACATGTAAGAATGTGCAGAGCTGTTAATAATAGCAAAAAATTTTTTAAATAATTCAAATGCCCACCAATAGTCAAAAGGATAATAATTTGTGCTATATTCCAACCACAGAATACTATTTAGCAATGAAAATTAATAAATTACAATCACATACTGCAAATCATGTGAATTTTAGGACATAATGTGGCAGGAAAGAAATTATGCAGCAATACCCATAGTCTTATTCTTTATATATAGAGCTCAAAATAAAAGAACTAACAATATGCTATGTAGATACACAAACATGCTGGTGAAACTATAACGAAAATCAACAGAATAAAACATTAAAGATGATAGTAGCTCGGATGAGGGAATGAAGGGAATAGAATGAAAAGAGGCATGGAGGGGATGTCAAAGGCAATTATAGTCTTTCTTTTAAAGAAGGAGTGACTACTCAGGTACTCACTATACTTTCTTTATATTTCATCCTCCTAAGATTCCTTAGTAATAAGATTGTTACTGTTTAGATCTAAAATGTCCCCCAAAAGACTCATGTTCAGAGGTGGGGCTTTTGGAGGGTGACTGGACCATGGGTGTGCTATAGCTGACTTGCTGTTAGGAGGTGGGCCCTGGAGTGTCACCTGGGAGGATGTCCCTAGCGCCTGCCTTCTGTCTCTGCTCTCTGGCTGCCATGACATGAGCACCGTTCCTCTGCCTAGGCCCTTCCACTATACTGTTTCTGTCTTAGAGTCAGCAACCATGAAATCAACCCACTGAAACTTTGAGCCAAAATAAATATTCCTCCTCTAACTTGGTGGGTATTGGGTATTTTATCCCAATAACAAGAAAGTGACCAAGACAAAGATTTAATCTAAAATCATTTTAAAAACATTCATTCTTGTCCTTCCCAAACCCTCCACTTCTGAGGCCCAACCCCTAAATCCAGAAAGCAAGTTCTGTCGGTTCTATCCGAAGTCCATTCCTTTCTCTTAACTCCTACCTGCATCTCCTTGATTGAACCCACCACCATTCACCATCTCGTAACCTCTCGGCAGATCTTCTTGCCTTTTTCTATTTGTCATGTAGCAACCAGTGAGATCTTTTTCAAATTGAAGGACCTTAAGTGACTGTGTATCATTTTCCAGTTTAAGACCTTCCAATGGCTTTCCAGTGCCCTTAGGAAAAGTACTACATATATTACCTAGCTAGACCTAGAAGGCCCTGGATGATCTCCTACCCACCTATCTAAACTTACTACATCCCATATTTCCTTGCTTACTCTATAGACATTCTGCCTCTAAGACAGAAACAGCATGGCGGAGGGGCCTAGACAGAGAGCAGAGACAGAAGGAAGGCGCCAGGGACATCCTCCCAGGTGACACCCCAGTGACCGGCCTCCAACCAAGGCCCACCACCTAACAGCAAGAAGATCTGAATTAAGAGCATAGTTATTAGAAATGAAGAAGCAAACAGAGATTCCAGTGATACTGAAGATAAGGACATCAATCGAGAAGACTTGGTGACAAATGGACATGAATAAGAGAGCAGGAAGAAGGCCGGAGAGTCACTGATGTGACCCATACTTGCGCTTTGTACATCTGCCTCATGTCTCCACTTCCTCTCACCACACCCTCAGAACACTCCAATCTGGCCTCTGATGAAATTGTTCCATGAGAGAACTATGAAGGTCACCAGTGATTCCAGATGACTAAATCCAATGGGTATTTTGTGGTCCTCACCTTGCTTGTCCTCTCAGCCTTCAACATGCTGTCCATTTGCTCCTTGGCTTCCTGACCCAGCAGTCTTAATTCTCCTTACTTCCCTCTGGTCACTTTTTCTCTGTCTCCTTCGATGACTTATCTTTCTCCCACCCTAGCCATTAAGCCCCTCGAGGTTCAGTCACAACCTATGCCATTCATCCTCTCTCCCCTTATACAATACTATTCAAAGGTCTTTAGCCACTTTGGGATGACAACCTATGCATTTCTTTCTCTAGCTCTAACCTCTCTTCTAAGCTCGAGACCCACACATCCAATGGCCAGCTTGATGATTCCCTTTTAGGAAGTTGAATACATTCCTTCAATTCAACATGTTCAAAATCGAAACTTCTTCCACCACCATTGAAGAATGCAAGCCAGAAAACCAGAGATTATCACTGACACAGCTCTCCTCTGAACGTTCACCTTTTAGCCCTATGTAAGTCCCGTCAATTCAACTCCTGAATCTCAGATTTTTCCACTCCATGTCTTCCCCAAGTCTAGTCCCAGATCCGACAACTAATTATTGAGGCCTTAACAGCCTTCAGTGGTGACCTTGCATTCACACATTCCAATTTCAACCTACTGTCTGCCCTGCAGCCACAATGATCTTTCCAAGAGGCATTCTGGCCACCTCACCCATTGCTGAAAATCCTCCAGTGGCTCTCCACTTCTTTTTAGGGGGGCACTCCAGGATCCCCATGGCCTACCTCTGCTGCTGCTCTATTCTCATCTTATTAAAGGTCATGTCACTCTCTGCTCTAGCTATACTGGCTCTTTTGGACCTTGGCAAACAATAAACTCCATTCTTCCCCGAGGCCTTCACATATGCTATTCCCTCTGCCTAAAACGTCCTTCTGTCCTCTCTTACTGTGCCATTCACCACTCCATAAACCTAGGTATCTGTCACTTCATCAGAAGACACCCCAACCCCCTAGGCAAAATCTCAGTACTCCCATGGCATCCCGTTCATTTCCTTCATTCCATTTCAATGCCACATCTGCTTCTGTGTCTAATTAATTTCTACCCTAACAATGTGACTGTAAACTCAGAAAGAGCAAGGGCAATGACTATTTTTTTCCTTACCACTGTAACCTCAGAGAATATCTGGTATATAATAAACCTCAATAAATATTTGTTGAACAGATGGACAAGAGAATGAGCATGCCAGAAAAAAGGGATGACCCAGAACCAAGGGAAGGTGGAATTTTTTAAAGAGAGTACTATAAAAAGGTCAAAAAAGACCCAGACAAAAAAGCCTTCAAAGAATTCAACTGATTCTAGAGATCTTCTACTCTAAGTAGATCATTAAGAGAACAAGCTACTAAACATTTTAAATGTTTTATCAATCTTAGCAGTACAGTTCAAATTGTGTACGACATTTTAGCTTAACAGTAATAAAAGTCTATTCATTCTGTTTCAAAAAACTGCAAATACTGATAAAAAAATTCTTTTTTTCTGATGAGTTAAAAGGACAGGTTCATTATAAACAACACTAAAATTATAGATTACCTTCATCAATGTACCATGTATTTTTTGATTTGGATTGTGGTTGTGAGTCAACAGAAGACCCATTTAAGGTATAAAATAATTCAGATCTATTTCTATTTCCAGGGTCTGAGGTAGATCCTATGAAACAAAAAAAAATTTTTCTTTTAAAAATAAAGTCAATATGTTGTGATAGTTTTTTAATAATACAAATTAATACACATACAATGTTAACCTCTGTTTGTACAACCAATACAGGTATATAAACACAATATATTTTATTACTGTCTTCAGATTTTAAAAAGTTGGTGTAACTTTAGTCATTGGAGAAAGCCTGTTTATTTTTTAAAACGCAAACTTCCCTAAGAAATCATGTTACATAGTATAGTTTGTTTCTAAATGTCAAGATTACCATTTCCCCACTGCTTCTGATGAATGTGACTGACAATTTAACCTATCGCAGCCATGCATGACATAATGATGTTTCAGTAAAGGACAGACACACATACGACAGTGGTTAGGTGTGTAGTAAGCTATACCAGCTGGGTCTGTGTACTTTCTGTGAAATTCGCACAAAGACAAAATCACCTCATGACGCATTTCACAGAATGTATGCTTGTTGGAAGTGACACCTGATTGTATTTTAAACCAGTTGCTGTCAGAAGAACATAATCTTCAAATGCTATATACAAATCAGAGCATAGATTAAGTTTAAATAGATTTAAAGTTTAAGCTGGGGATGTACCCCCGTGTCAGAGCTCTTGCTTACCACACACAAAGTTCTGGGTTCAATGCTCAACAGTGAAAAAATATGAATTAAAAAAATTTTAAATAAAAAGACTCAATATTTAAACATTTTGGAGTTGTTGGTCATCAACTCTATCACTTAATTTCATCCTGTCTGAAAAAATGTAGCACTATTACTTCTATATTAGATTTATCAAGTGAAAGAGTTACTATGGCTGTGTCTCAGACATTTCCAGGCATGGTGCCACCTCTGCATATGCTAAAAAGACATGCCATAGCAAAGGGCAATGAGGCTTCAGAACCCACACAGAAGCCAAGTTTTCCCCTTCAATTTCAAGCAGATAGCTCTACATTTTGTAACTTTATCTCAGACCTGCTATAACATAATCAATACTCCATGTTAGCTTTGCACAAGTAGTTCCACCTATTCAGGAGGCTGAGGCAAGGATGATTGCTTGAGACCATGAGGTCAAGGACAGCCTGGACAACATAATAAATCCAGTATCAAAAAAAAAGGAAGGAAAGAAGGGAAGGGAGAAAAGGGGAGGAGAAGGAGGGGGAGGATAGGGGAGGGGCAGAGGGAGGAGGAGAAGGAGGAAAAATGGAAGAAAGAAGGAAGAAGAGGAGAAGAAAAGGAAAGAAAGTAAAAAAGAAGGGAGGGAGGCAGGGAGTCAAGGAAAAAAGAAACATAAGCCCCTTCTTCTATTTTTTTATTTTAAGAAAGATCTCACTAAGTTGCTAAGTTGCCCAGGCTGAGATCAAACTTGTGATCCTCCTGCACCAGCTTCCCAGAGAGCTGCTTTTTAAATGAGCTGTTGGGTTTGTTTAACTATCACTCTATAAATCTATGAAGTATGGAAAAGCCAACAGAAAAAGAGGTATAAATTCAACATGTATCATGAGGAAGTTCTGGAGAAAAGAAAAAAATTTTGCTTAGCATTTTGTTATTTAATTTGTGCCACACCTACTCAGCAAAATCCATATTATCTCCAGTGTACTTTACTCTATATAACTCTATCCATGTATGATTATATAATTGCAACACTATGCTGTGTGTATACACACACACACACACACACACACACACACACACACACACACACACACACACACACACACACAAATATCAAAAGTAGGGGTTTCCAAAACCAGCTGATCATGGTCCAGCAAAAGATACAAATATCACAGGAAACTTATCAGGTAAAAGGTGAGGGAACTGATGGCTTAAGCAACACCATCCACTTAAAATTTGAGTTTATCAAAAATGTTTGAAAGAAGAAAGTCTACATATATGTTACAGCATAATGGTTTATAACCTCTTTTAACACTGGGCAAATCACATATCATGTAAATTGCCAAGAATTGTATCTTGTTAATCCATACCTGTAGCCTTTGGTTTATTATGACTGGATGAACCTTTGTCCCCAACACCTCGTGACATAAAGGCAAGTTTGGGAGGCCTCCTTTCCTGTGTCACGCTATCTGAAATAGTAAACATGTATTTTAAAGATAAAAGCAAATTTTTATGGAACAGAAATAAGAAAACAATGACAATAACAAAAACAAAAAGCCTCTTTTCAACAAAAAGCACAATTTTCAACAATTTTCCAAATTATTTTAAAGACCATCAAGAGGAAAGCACTGCTGTATCTCCAAATACAATTTCTACAAGAAAATATACTTCCAAAATACAATTCAGCTAAATGCTTTAAAGTGTTGAAAACTCAATAATATGCAGTCAATTTTGTTTGTTTGTTGGGTTTTTTTGGTTTTGTTGTAGGGGGGGCTTTGTTTGGTTTTTGTTATACCGAGGACTGAACTCAGGGCCTTCATAGTGAGCTACATCTATAGCCAACTCACTAAATGGATAAGTTGCCATGGCTAGGCTCGAACTTGGAATCCTGTGCCTCAGCCTCCCAGAATGCTGTAATTACGGGCATGGGCCTCCCTGCCTGGCTATTTGATGTTTTAAAACACTAAGAAAACCTTATTCACAATTTTTGCAGCATTTCTCAAATCAGTATGCCCCAAATACCTCTATGTATTATGAAGTGTTCCATACCCAAAGATTTCTAGGAGACAATGAGATAAAGACAATTTCTTTACTGCATAAAACAAGAATCCTTAATATGCTAATGTACACTGTGAGTATCTCAGGAATGGGTATAATAAACTTATTAATGATACTTTTTTGGGCCACTCTACTTAGGATCTCAAATCCCCACCCCACCCCGTACAGGGGATTGAACTCGGCACCTTGCACTTGCAAGGCAGGCAGAGGAACCACTGAGCTAAATCCCCGGCCCTCAGATTAATATATTTCATGAGACACAGTTTGAGAAAACCCTGAGCAGCAATATGTTATCACAGTGAGGAATATGCTCATTAGGAATATGTGTTAGCCTTAAAAATATATATATGTTAAGAATACAGATATGGATGCAAATACACATATAAACATGAAAAACATGAAGATTACATATAAATTAATAATGTAGAAAGCAGAGACATACAACACTAATGTTTTGGGGGAAAACACCCTAAACTTCTCTTTGAAGTATAGATGTAATAAATTTGGCAAATTTGCTTTTAATACAAAGACCATTTAAAGCCTCCAGCCGAGTTACAATTATAAGGTATTCAAATACTGATCAAATAAATGTAGAAAAGTTAATATGAGAAGTTTTATCCTTAAAATGTAAAACGACATATCTGTGAAGTCCAACATGACATTTAGGAGTCATACCTGATAAAGCTGTATATCAGCAAAAACGATATCACCCACAGTGGATTTTTGAGGACAAAAAGAAAAAATAGGAAGATTTTTACATTTTAAATACAAGGAAAAGGCCATTGTTTTAAAAAAGGAAATCATACTGAATTAATTTTATGTAAACTACGCTTGGTAACGTTTTCCAGGGTTGGAAGAAGAGACGAATACATGTTAAACTACACATCTTAAACATCTCAGAATGTGAACAAATGGGATACTGGAATATTATCTTAATTCAAAAATTATACTGTTTAACCATGACTTTAAAAAGTGCTATAGTAAAAGAAATGTTATTTGCTAATACTATTATGATGCTACCATTCAAGTATCTATAAATGTCACCTATGACAGCTAAAGAGGACGGGAGAGGGGAAGGGGAAAGGAACATGAGAAAAAGAAAAAACATAACAAAAGTCTTTGTAAATAGGGAGGAGTGGAAGGGTTGGAAGGGAGGGAAGGGGAATGGGGAAAAAAATAAGAACCATGACATATCATGCAAAGGTACAAATTCCCAATGATGAATGTCATTATATTGTATACCTCAAATGTACCAACGAACTTAATGAATTAAAAAAAGAAAGAAAATTAATTCCCACTATTAATTGTAATTAACTGCATATAACTGAAAAGAGACATTTTCACCGTGGCATGACACGTGTACATTCCATAGTTAGCAGGCATTGCAGTCCTAGAGACCATCTGCCCTCTGTCAAGCTGTGAAGGCAGCCTCGAGTACCATTAAGTCAGATGATGAGCTGCTGGAGAGGGCTGCATGAATTGGGAATGTGAACTAGAGGACTCTGGGGTGGCAAACTACGGTAACCTTCTTCCAGAGACTTTGAGAAGGAGTCAAACATTAACTTTTTAATTATTTTTATTTTTATTTTTGTTAGTGGGGATCAAACTTGGGACCTTGCACTTGCAAGGCAAACATCAACTTTGAGGAACAGGACACTGCAACAGAATTCTAACCACATCTAGCTTGCCCTCCAGCAATTACTATATACCCAATATTTCTTACTACTTCTTCACAACTAAGTTCATGATCCAAAACCACAGGGATCATAAAACAAAGCCTTCTCACTCAAATAAATGTTAAGAGATTGCTAACTTATAGAAAACAAAGGAAAAACGTCAGCAGAAAATGTTGCAAGATTAAAATGAACCCAATTAAAGATATTAAAAGAGATAGCAGGATATAGCCAACAAACAACATGTACCAAAATGTACACAGCAATCCTCTCATGATAACCAGAAGCTGGAAACAATCCATTTTACAGAAGAATAGATAAAGAAATTGTGGTGTACTCATATGGCAGAATACTACATAGCAATAAAAAGGAGTGAGCTATTGTTATACACGACAGCATGAACAGTGTGTTGGGCAAAAAAATAAATAAGACTTAAAATGTGCATAATATAAACTCAGCAGACCTGCATTCAAAACAATAACATTAGCAGCTTATCTATTACTCCTATTTATTTCATCAAAAAAGGAAAATCCCTTGGAGAATCTTGGGCAGAAAATTCTAACAGTAAACTAGTGAACAAGTTTTTTCAAACCAAAAGAAATGTCTGTGATTTTGAATGACTCATTAAATTGAGAAAAACTGCTTAATTGATAGGTTTAACATCATCAGCCACAGCATAATTCAGACCCAAATGACAATTTACCACCACAGAAAAATCTTGTGAGGAAAATATAAATTCACTTGACTATAATGAGGTATTATAAAATCTTATATCAAGCATACTATACACAGCAATTATCCAAAAATCTCCCCACTGTTGGGTTACTGACAAGAATAAATACTTCCCTTATATTTTGGATAAGTGTTATGTTAAAAATACAAGACCTTGAAGATAACACCAGAGTTGAATGCTGACATCTGGTGATTCAAAATATCCTTGTCGGGGCTCTGTCTCACAGGACCAGAAGTCCTTCTATATAAGAAATGAGGGTGTTTCAAAGTGACAAGTAATCTCTGTAGAAGGCACTTATCACCACCTATCAAAATATAAAATGTACACACCCTTTGGCCTACCAGTTCTATTCCTAAGAAGTTATCTTCTAGCCACTCTACTGGCATATGTGCAACTGACAAATATGCACATATAAAGTTATTCACAGAAGTACTATTTGTAAAAGAAAAAGATTAAAGACAGCCTAAATATTCATCAGGAGGGGATTGGTTTTTAAAAAAAGTTTATGGTACATTCATATAATAAAATACAATTCAGTAACTTGTGCAATTTATGTACTAATATAAAATGATCTAGGAATCTAGGAAACCAATTGTTAACTTAAAAAGGAAGGCATAACTTCCACTTTTAGGAATATGGAGTAGATAGAATTATCCCTATTCCTCCTGCCAAGTACAACTAAAAACTCTGGACATAATTTACAAATAAATATTAAAAACTTCAAAAGTTGAGGAGAAGTACAGAGACCAGCTATGGACTTCAGCTTCAAGCAACCACATGGCAGAGATTTCCCTTCTTGCCTCATACATATCCTAGTCTCAGAGCTGCAGAAGTCAACCTAGAAATATCCATGGGCAGAGACAAATTGAAGCCTCAACAAGGTCGTTCCCTCTAACCAAACGACATCAATTCTCCTCAAAATTAGACTCAATGCAATTTCCACAAAATATCAAGATTTTGTGTAGATATAAATAATTCAATTATAAAATGTATATGGAAAAGCAAAATATCTAGAATAGCTAAAATACTTTTGTTTAGAAGAACTTGCTATTTAGCTATAGTAATTAAAATGATATGGTACTGACAGTAGGACAGAATGCACAGATCGATGGAACAGACTCAAGAACCAAGAAATAGGCCCTCACAAATACACCCAAATGATTTTGGATGAAGGTACAAAAGTAATCCAATGGAAGAAAGATAGATTTTTCAACAAATGGTGCTGGAACAACTAGATATTCATAAGTTAAAATTTTTTTAAAAACTTCTTATCTTAGAAAAATCAATTAAAAATGGATCAAGGATTAGATGAAAAATAGAAAACCATGATTAAATTGAAAAAAAAAAAGAGGATTGCAAAGAAATTCCCATACATTTCTGGTGATCACTTTGGAAACAATCTGGCAGCTCCACAAATGACTAAACATAGAATTATGGTAAGACTGAGCAAAATTCCACTCCTAGGGATATACCCAAGAGAACCAAAAACATATGCTATAGAAAAACCTTTACATGAAAGTTCACAGCAGCATTTTTTATTAAACAGCAAGAACTAGAAACAATCTAAATACCATCAGCTAATGAATGGATAAAATTCACTGGCATGTTATTTGGCTATAAAAAGGACTTGAGTATTGACCCATGATACAACAGAAATAAGCCTTGAAAAAGATATGCTTAACTAAAACAAGCCAGTCACAAGAGTCATTTATATGAAGTGTCCAGAATAGATAAATCCATAGGGACAGCAGATTAGTAGTCCTGAGGGATGGCTGCAAGGAGGAGGCAGGGGAAAGTGGGTACAGAGTTTCCACTCAGGATGACAAAAATAATTCCTGTGTGGAAATCCTGGAAATAAATAGCAGTAACGGATGCAAAACATTCAAATATACTTAACATTATTGAAGTGTGTTTTAATAGGATGAGTATATAGTTCTAGTTTTTTACTATTAATGGCACATGAATTATACTTTAACTTTTTAAAACTGAGGAGAAAATCTTCCAAATCTAGAGCTAGGCAAAAGCTCTTGGGCTTGACACTACAGACACAAATCTGTAAAAGGAAAATTTTATAAATTTGACTTTATAAAATCAAAATCGTTTGCCTTGTGAAAAACTCTGTTTAGATGATGAAAAGATCAGGAGAAAATATTTGTAAATAATGTATTTAACAAAGAACTACCATTGTATCCATAATATATAAAGAATTATCAAAACTCAACAATAAAAAACCAAACAATCTAATCAGAACCTAGGCAAAAGAGACAATTTACTAAAAAGGCACATTACAGTTGCCATAAAACACATGAAAATGCTCAACATCATGAGTTATCAGGGAAACTCAAAACTACAATGAGTTATCACCCTCCATCTCTCAGAACAGCTAAAATTAATAATGTTAACACCAAATGCTGGCAATGGGTGGAGAGACCGGCTTTCATTCATTGCCGATGATCATGTAAAATAGTACAGCCACTCTAGAAAAGTGTAACAGTTGCTTTTAAAACTAACCATGTAATCACTTCTCGGCCTTTTGGCTAAGATCAAGTGTGTAAAACTAACCATGTAAATATTATATGAACTTTTATGCCAGAGAAATGAAGATTTGTGTTCACTCAAAAAAACCTGTACACGAATGTTTATAAAAGTGTTGTTTATAATAGTCAAAATCTGGAATCAAAGTAGGTCTATTTCAATGATAAATCATTAAACAAACAGTGGAACATTTATAACATGGAGTATTATCGGTATCAAAAAAGAAGAAACCACTGATGCACAGAACAAAAATGAATCTCCAGGGACATAAGCTGAGTGGAATAAGTCGATTCCAGAAAATTACATTCTATATAACACTCCTGAAATGACAAAATTAGAGAAATGGAGAACAGAGCAGTAGTTGTCAAAGTTAAGGAGACAGCAGAAGTACGAGGGAAGGTATGTGGCAATAAAGGGGCAATGGCAATGATCCTTGTGGTGACTGGGATGTCATGTACCTGGACCATACTGTATCAATACCAACTGTGATGCTGTACTATCCTTTAACAAGATATTACTATCAGGATAAACTAGCTAATGGACAAATAACGTTTCACTGAAAGTGAATCTTAGTAAGTGTTTGTATATCATATATCTGATAAAGTTCTGTTATTTGGAATTTATAAATAAATCCCCAAAACTCAGTAATAAAAAAAAAACAGATCAAAAGATTTGCACCAAGGAAGATACACAGACGAAAAATAAGCAAATGCAAAGATGTTTGACTTCACTGGTCACTAGTA